CGTTATTCTGGGCGCAATCATGACGCGTCATCGTGTGCGCAATCACGTCGTCCTATGGTCAGGAGATTCGATCGCGCAACGCATGCTGTAAGCCGTTCTTCTAATAAGAACATCAAGTATTGCGTAATACCTTACCATAGGGGGACACCATAGACGCTTTATTCCATTTAAAGCACGAAACGATATGGTATAAAGAAGAATACCTCGCCGCTTGACAATGACTTTCTGCATCAAATAGACGATGGCAAGTCTTGAACTGTGCATTCCAGCCCAAATGCTGACATCTAGAAAGGAATGCTTCAGAGGAGCAGAGTCCGAAAAACTCTATCCATATCTCTTGGCTTGGTCAATAGAAGTTGCCAGTAGGCTAAGCAAGTAAGTGATCTATCTCTGGAAATACCCCATGCGCTATCGAGCACACCAGTGACGTTCGATCATCTTGTGATGCCAGTTTGGCGGCTAAACTAATGCACCTGCTGTGTGAATCATATACGTGTTTAACCGTGACTATAGATCCTGTATAGTGTTATATCCCTCAATTCTGTTAAATAAGTATTTGGAGGCACTTATCCTCCACCCATGGGCAAAAAGAGCCTTCTGGTCCAGATCCAGCTCATTGATTACGATCTCGGTGTCGTTGTGAGTCCCGTGTCGGGGAACGCAGCAGTATTCTTTATACGGAGCGAGTGATAAAAGAGGCGGAGCATGAAAACTCTACTGCCTCAAAATATGTCTATCGGTGAGGATGGAGGTATCGAGCTAGAATTCGGGGAGTTGTTACGTCCGTATTTATCGAAAAATCTGTTCTTCTCACACCTATAAGTTGCCGAGCGTTTGGACCGTGCCTTTCTCAAAGGCTTGCTGATTGGTGTAAGGGAAGGGCCCCAATACGGGCATGCTTGTTGGAAAGGTATCGTCGAGATCGAGATATAACTATATGAACTGACTGCTCGCTAAGCGTCTTCTTTTGCGCAATATTGTAAAAGGCACATACAGTATCAACCCCAGTAAGGTCCACGCCTTTGGTGGGTGAGGGTGTCACGGGCACGGCTACCTCTGTGCAATTGCACAAAATCAGTGCAATTGTACAAATACACGAGATCAGTACAATTGTACATATACACGTTATACTTTTGTGCAAATGTGCAAAATCAAACGGTATTAAAGTATTGATATAACTAAAGGTGATGGGACTTCGAAAGGAGGACATTTCTGATGTCAAATGGTGCGAAATATTGTGGCGTCAGTGAAAAGATGACCATATTATAAAACATAGTAATATTTATACTTCGTAACTGTCAATGTCTAAGTTCCGCCACTCTTGATTAATAGTTATTGGTTTGACGTCGCACATAGCCACTCATGGCTGAAGCGTAAATCGCTGTACAGCTGGCGCAGATTCAAACTGTGATCTATAGTGATTAAGCCATGTTTCCAATTTCGCTGTTTACCTCAGATGACGTATGCAATCTTTGATATTATGAAGATTGAGATTTGAAGGTCAACATCACCATTGTGACATGCGATAGCTTATCGTCTCAGCTGCGCGAGAGCGCTTCCGCCACCACATGAAGCTGACTGAGCTTATACTATACACTGAGAGTATACTCAGCAAGAAGAATTCAGGAGTGCTGACGCGTGATTTGAATATCAAATTTCGGATAGTGAATGTAAGAAAACTAAATAACTACCAAGTAGTTTATCGTAAATATTCGAATGTAAGAAGATCGTGTAAAATCATACTGATAAAGATAAGAAACTATACACGCATGCTCCGCACGCTTGCATTGTCCTCCATTCGCTTCAAAGGGCGCCACCACTCGCAGCTAGCGTCCGTATCAATGGTGGTGCCTGGTTTGTCCTCTGAAGTACGCCATGACTGGACTATAGCAGAGGTACAGACGATCTACGACCAGCCACTTCTTGAGCTTGTATACAAGGCAGCGACCGTGCACCGCATGCACTTTGACCCGACAGAGGTACAACAATGCACGCTGCTTTCTATCAAAACTGGCGGATGTACAGAGGATTGCAAGTACTGCTCTCAGTCTTCGCACTACAAAACCTTTGTCAAGCCTGAGCCTACAAAAAAGGTGCAAGAAGTGGTCGAAATAGCGCGCCGCGCTAAAATGGCGGGCAGCACTCGCTTTTGTATGGGATCAGCTTGGCGTGAAGTAGGAAAAAAAAATGCATTTCGTCACATTTTGGAAATGGTGCGGCAAGTCAAGGATTTGGATCTCGAGGTGTGCTGTACACTGGGTATGTTGACAGAGGAGCAGGCTGTGCAGCTGAAGGAAGCTGGACTTTCAGCCTATAACCATAATCTTGACACTAGTCGTGAGCACTATGCTAATATCATTACTACTCGCACGTATGATGACCGTTTAGAGACGATCGCAAATGTTCGCAAAGCTGGGATTTCGGTTTGTTGTGGAGGCATTTTGGGTGTTGGGGAAAACGAAATTGACCGTGTTGGTCTGCTGCATACACTCGCTACTATGGATGAGCACCCTGAGTCTGTACCCGTGAATGCGCTCGTGTCTGTTGAAGGCACACCTCTCTTTGACAAGAACATTTTACCTGTCACGGCTACCGATATGGTACGTATGATTGCTACAGCTCGGATTTTAATGCCCAGGACTATGGTACGCTTAAGTGCTGGGCGCATGTCATTTACGGATGCAGAACAAGGAATGATGTTTATGGCGGGCGCTAATTCGATTTTCAACGGTGATACGCTACTTACGACAGCCAATCCTGCGTTCGAAAAGGACAAGAAACTATTTGAAATGTTTGGACTGAAGGGAAAACCGGCTTACCATCCACACAAGTTAACACCATACATTGTCGAGGTGACGCATTCTATGCCTGCTACGACTGAGGCTGTGGCGTAAGTTGGGACGCAAGAAAACCATGAGGGCAAACCTTTGCAGTTGATAAAAAAGCTGTTAGCATCTATTCACAATTTTGTGACGTTTTGTAGATTGAATTGTGATGCTACATCGGAATCATTCAGAAATACAGTCTATCGTGCACCACTATCAAAAGTTTTAAACAGTCTTTTTCATCTTCTTTGTGGTCTGCTCCGTGAACATCTTGCTGTCGGCCAAACGTTTTCTTCGAGAACATTTCTCCCTTCTATGGTCCCCGTCTTCATTATTCATTGAATGATCCAATTCCTTTGGATACAAGTCAGCCAAATCGTCAATCTCCTCGTCCTTCTTAAGCTTGACGCCTTCAAGTGAAGCGTCTGATTCATTGTCATCTTCATTGTCCTCTTGCTCTCCGTCTATCGAGTATAAGACCTGTTTATTTTCAGATTCAAAGGCATCGGCATCAAAGTCTGCCTTATACTGCGCTTCATCATCGCCGTCGTCCTCGTTTTTGGTTAACTTGATCTTGACATGTTGCTTCATACGCTTGTAGCGCTTACCTTGTACGTGCTTCTCCACCTCAAAAGGAATGCGGTTCAAGATGATACCTGTAACATTGCAGTATAAATTCTTGTGTAGCTCACGATGTGGCACAATGTACGGTTCGTACTGCGAGTAGTCATGACAGTACCAGTCACGAGCCTTGACAAATTTCTTTGACTTGAGGTGTTGCTTGATGATGTCGACTCGCGGAAGCATTTCATGCTGTGTCAGTTGACACTTAATTCTTACGTACTTCTTGTCACCCTGACCAAGCTCCACAATTTTTAGAAACTCATTTTTCTGTAAAAGCTGCTGCACAGGATCCACTGGAGACGTCATGACCGAAGTCTTGCAATTACCAATTGTTTATTTTTTTTTTATGTGTGGAGTAACTAGCTCACACAAAAGTGTTTATTAGAATTATGTGTTTGTGCATCAAATCGAGCCAAAATACGATCGTACACGCTAATTCCACACTACCTGCGTTATACTCTCTGTTCATTCCATATTGTGACCATCCAATTAACTGCTTTTGGCAAACTCCACACCCTTCTTGATCTGGGCCTCAAGAGTTCCAATCATCTCGTCAAAGTTTGCTTGCTCCACGGCAGAGAGTTTGCCAAAGTGATGCACCTTTTCAACACCATTCGGCCCAAGCGTTACAGGCGTAGAAAAGAAGGGAAGCTTAGTCACGTCATTTTGTGTATACGCGCACTCAACAACATCCTTGGAACCGTTCATTGCATCTAAAAGACGGATGGTAAAGCGTGCTCCAGCGTACGCCATCGATAGCGTGGCTGATCCTGTGCCATTTTTGGCCTGCACAACTTCATCCCCACCAAATTGAATACGGTGTGTGAGTTTAGCAATGTCCTCGTCCGAGAACTTAGCGCCCTCAAGTTGTGATAGCAGCGGCAGAATCGTAGTACCAGCGTGACCACCGATAACCTTGACACGCGTGTCGCGCGGATCCCACTTCTGATTGTCGGCTACAAAGGTGGCGGCGCGTACGACGTCGAGTGTCGTGACACCAAAGAGACGCTTCGGGTTGTATACCCCTGCTTTTTTAAACGTCTCGGCCACGATAGGCACCGTCGAATTGACGGGGTTAGCAATGATAAGCATCATAGCATTGGGGCAATGTTTAGCAGCAGCAGCAGCTAGAGACTGCACAATGCCAGCATTCGTATTAAACAGATCGTCGCGGGTCATACCGGGCTTGCGCGGGACGCCCGCAGGGATGACTACAACATCAGCACCCCCAAGAGCCTCGGCAGCCTGCTCCATGCCAACATGACCCGTCACCCTGGCGAGTGTGTTGACGTGGCCGATATCAGCGGCCACTCCGGGCGTGTTTACCACATCAAAAAGGCTAAGATGTTTAATGTGGTCGCAGTCCTTCAGCAGAAGCGACAGTGGTTGACCAATGCCACCAGCTGCACCGAGGACGGCCACCTTCTGCTGACCTGAGGACGTGGAAAAGGCTCGACGGAGCGTAGCAGCAGTGAGCGATGTAAGGTGAGCTTGCATCTTTGTGATGATCTTTGCAAGATTGAGCGAGTTTTGGAGAATTGGTCGACCACCATACGTTAAATTCGTAGAGACATCGCTAGTATACAGTATGGAAGCATGCAGTAATGAAATACATGCAAAGTAATAAGAAGGTGACACAAATGTTGTCCCAAACAAGGGTACAATATTAGCCAGTATTATTCGACAGATTGATAAGAAAGCAAAATTAGCAAGATAGACTGATACATGGGGCTGATTCATAGATTTGGGCACATAGAGCAAATTGTGAATTGAATCGGGCACTTTTCGCGAAGGTCTTGCCTGTGTAGATCGACAAGATCCAAAAGGGATTTAGTGAACTAGCTAGACCTGGCCGACTGCTTTATAATTACTGTTAAATTCGACGACATGGCACAGTTCCTTACCAGTCTCCTAACAGCGGGGCTGCCGTAGCTCTTTGCTTGGCGGAAGTTTACTTAAAGTCACCGACCTTCGCTTCATACTAGAACCAGTACAAGGTTAGCGAATCGCAATCTGCTAATTCCAAGAGTACCCACAACCTAACCCAAGGGAATTTCACTCTTCCGTTCGAAATCCAAACGGTATTTATTTGTTTTATTTGCGGCAAAGCCACCTATATCTGATTATATAGGTTTTCCTAATTAGATATTAAAACCTGATTTATATGCATGACTACTGGCAGCCCCGCCACGTAGTAACTTCTTGTTATGGTGTAGCCACAGCTTTGTATGGTCACAAGATTGTGTGACCCAACTCTTCATACCATTGTACATGTATCCTCGTTGTACCCCCATCAAATTTGTGAATACCCACAGTTCACATTCAACTGTCGCCTCGTACGAAGCTCGCGTGTCAAACACACCTCTATGCCCCCAGGACCTTCTGCACGCATTCTCTGCTCAATGAGCCTTGTGTCTAGGATACGAAAGACAGCCAGCCTTGCTGAATTCGAGAGCACAGCGGACAAAGCCCTTCTTGGTCTCCTCCACGCGATGCAACTTCGGACAGCACGTCCGCGGCTTCACGGAAAGCGCATTCCAAGCCCTTGGCAACCGAGCACCGCACACCGCGCCCGCCACGAGCAACGGATAACCTCGTCGAGGATTTGAAGGAAGTTGGCTACGAGTCAAATTCTTTTAATTCAGGATGGAAAGAAGGAATGGGCAAGTTTCGCCAATAGCGCGACGTGAGCTCTACACGAGCATTGCGGACACCTTGACCGTTTCCCGACCTCTCGACATCCAGGGGTTTGACAGTTTTACAAATCAACTCGCGAGGAACAGAAACAGCAGCTGGATGATTCCTGCAGGGTTGCTATGCGCGCTCATTCACGGCCGATCCTAGATCCTCGTGTGGAATACGGCTTCCGCTCGGCGGATCCCGCTACTGAAGCGAGAAATTCGATCAACCGATGCTTAGGCATCTACGTGGTCTGGCCCCCGGCCACTACACAGGATGAGCTTAACCGTCGAAAAGCTCTCCCAACTCAATCCTTGACACCTCAAGAAGTCCCAGCGGATGTGTACCGCGCTCGACTTCGCGCTCAAAGAGGAGGTGTTTCTCGTGATTCCAGTGGTGCTCGCCCCAGGCGAAATCTCTGTCGATGTTGGAGTGCTCTTTGAGCGATGAGTGCAGCGGCACCGGAAACTCTTCTCGCTGTTTCAGTTACAGCGGAGCCACAAGGGGGTGGATGTGTGCTTAGAACGCCATCATTTATTCGAGTTTGACACACCCAAGGCGCAATGCCGACTTCTTTTTAATTGTCACCCCACGACACATGGAAAAATTCATCACTTTACCGCGAGCTTTGTGGATTCTCACAAGGGCGAGTCGACGACCATAGCAGCTCAAAACTAAAGCTTGAGCTCATGGTCCTTCGGTTTCCCGATATACCGCCGAGGGCGATCACCGCCCAGTGACTCGCGATGCTCTTCAAGCTTGCAAGGACACTGGACCGTCGTCATCGGGATTCCGCCGGGCATCATGCCGGGATCGCACACCGCTATGCGGAGGAAGTAGAGAGCTTGGAGCACGTTGTGCACCGACTGCCTCACGTTGAGGACTATCGAGCTCTGTCGGAGCGGCTCGTAACCGTCGAGCAGATGGATGCGTCACTTCGTGCGACGGTGAAGCGCCTAGCGCCGTTGGAAATGGAGATCATCGAAATCCATGCTCAAAACCAATTGCTGGTCCGGTTTCTGGGCGGTCGAGCGCCTGTGGTCCCACATTGGCGCCAACGCCTCCGCGTTCACTTGCGTCGGATCCCGGTTCGGCTTAAGCAAGCCCACATAAAACATCGGGTGAGTGCGCATACTTTTCGGAAGGCTAAGCTTTTACGCATAGTCTCGACCTCTAAAAGTATAAAAAGCTGTGAACGGAGCTTTGTCTTAAAGACAGCCGAAGCTACATGTGTGGAAAGAGTAAGGCGCTAAATCAAACCGGGTCATCGACCTCAACTTTCGCAACATTTTCTTTACTTCTTCTGTCTGCATATTCTATCTGCATGTCTCGGATTTCAGCCTTCGCATCGCGAACGAGTCGTATGACACTCAGTCTGATAGGCAGGAGGTCATAGACTTCTTTACGCACAGTGAGCGGGCTGACATCAGCCAGTCGCTCGACTATTCCTCCTTCACCAAACCTTGAGCCTCGGAATGGCGTGGTCAGCGAGCGCGAAGATAAACGAGGCTGTTCACGAAGAACGGTATGTAGCCGGTAGATGAATGCACTGCATTGCTCATAGCAAACTCAACGAGTGGCAACATGGAACTCCAGCGCCTCGGTGTCTCAGCGCAGATGCTGAGTAGGATGTCTTGACTAACGCGATTCACGCGGTCAGTTTGACAATCGGCCTGCGGATGGTCCGCTGTGGACATTGTCAATTGGGTGCAGCTTGAAGATTGACGACCAAAATTCCCAGTGAAGTGTGGGTCTCTGTCAGACTGTCAGAGATATTAGACTCGGGGGTCGATGTTGTTGAAAGACACGATCCACAAACAGCATCGCTGAACCGACACCGTCGATGGTGTCCGGCACCGCAGCAAGATGAGATATCTTGCTCAAACGCTAGACGAAGACCACGACATCGTGT